CAGCAAACAAAGAAAAGTAATAACAGGTTATCGATATGTATACCGATTTCAAAATTAATTTTGTCTCGTCTAAAAAATGCGCATATCTATATAGTAGTAATTGTAATTATCTGTATTTTATAAATTAATCTAATTTAGCTGATTATTAAATTTCATACATTTGTCCTTTTATATTGGTACTCTTGTTATGAAGCTTAAAGAAAATGGTAAACGGTATTTCTTTAATAAGGTAATTTTTGTTATGGTGTTAGTAAGACTTTGTGGTCTTCTATAACTGTAAGACACAAATTTTATTCAAGAGATTTTACCCTTTTCATAGATCCTATTAGTTGGTTTAATAAAATAGCGATAGTCAATTGTTTTGCATATTTTGTTGATTCTATTCCCAGCTCAGATAAACTTCTTAAAGGATTTTTTGAATGTGGTTATTTTTATTTTTAAAACAAAAGAATGTTTCCTTTGAGAGACATTTTATATCTTCAATATTTAATGAACTTCCTCTCCACGTCCCGTTCGTCATTTCCAAGGCATATAGGTATATGGTGCAGTACTGAGGCACTGAACTATATTATTTTACAATGGTAGATATAAAATATATTGTAAAAATACAAAAGAACAACAATTAGGTGGATTGTGCGCGTGTCAAAAGGTTATGGCAGCGGTAGGTTACCCTGCACGGTAGGTTACCCTTACCCTGCACGGTAGGTTACCCCGCACGGTAGGTTACCCTGCACGGTAGGTCACCCTGCACGGTAGGTTACCCTGCACGGTAGGTCACCCTGCACGGTAGGTTACCCCGCACGGTAGGTTACCCTGCACGGTAGGTCACCCTGCACGGTAGGTTACCCTGCACGGTAGGTCACCCTGCACGGTAGGTTACCCTGCACCTCAGGTTACCCTGCACGGTAGGTTACCCTGCACGGTAGGTTACCCTGCACGGTAGGTTACCCTGCACGGCAGGTTACCCTGCACGGCAGGTTACCCTGCACGGTAGGTTACCCTGCATGGTAGGTTACCCTGCACGGTAGGTTACCCTGCACGGTGGGTTACTCTGCACAGTAGGTTACCCTGCACGGTAGGTTACCCTGCACGGTAGGTTACCCTGCACGGTAGGTTACTCTGCACGGTAGGTTACCCTGCACGGCAGGTTACCCTGCAGCACTACGCTGTGTCGTAACCTTTACACTGGCTCGATACACACACTATCACGATTAACTGTTTTATTTATGTTAAAATAAAAAGTGTTGAATAAACTTCTTTTGTTCTTTTTTCATTGGCCACAGTAGTTACATACCCAGAAGGCTATCTTTCTGTATGAATGACCTAAAGTCAAAATGAGCTCCATTCGAAACAAGTTGTTGGTAAAGGTTTGTACATAAGCGCTCATTTGTCTGGTTTACGAATTCTATCCTCTGAATGGATTCCTGGGATTTCAATTCTTGCACCAATTACATTTCATAGAGGTGCAGCTTACATACCGATTAACTCGTTCCGCATCCTCTTCCGTTCTCAAGAGCCTCATGCGCTGGTTGTGGTTTATCTAGTGTTGAACCGGTCTCTTCAAAAGTTTTTAACCATTACCGAATTAAAGGAATGCTTGGCGCATACTTTATGAGACGAAAACTTCGCACGCTTTTGTCGCTGTGTTTACCTTTTTTGTAAAATTTGTGTACGCATAACGCGCGATCCGCTCCCAAGAAACTTAATTTTCAAGAGCCGGGCTAACAATTGACATATACCCACCATCCCTCTTGAGACACCTGGTATATTCTAAGGAGGTATAAAATCTTCACTGTTTGGTTAAAATGATTTTCTGGAAATAAGCAATGTTTTCCCGTTCTAAACTTTTCTTTTGCGGTATAAACATTATTTATTTTTCTCTTATCATTATCATCATTACAGACTATCGTAAGTCCACCGTTGAATATAAGAGTCCTCCAAGAAACGTCACAAAGCAAATTCATGTAGGTATGTGAGAGTAATACTAGTAATAAAAAATAAATAACATAACCTTTAAAAATATCACGAACAGATAGGAAGTATTGTCAGGATCAGGATGATTTAGTTGTAAATAAAAGGAATGTACAATATTATCTTTTTAAGTAGAATACAAAAATAAATGAAATATATAAAACAAGTATAAGGAATTTGATAAAATTACCATTTCTAAACAGTTAACACTGAATTCCTTACTAAAATTTCTATTAAAACCGATGTTTGAGAGCAACTAACGAATAACCTTTAGATAAATTGTTCATTCAGATTCTGAGCAGGTTCATTGGATTAATTCCGGGCAATTTGTTTATGTAGCCGGCTGGGTTTATTTGGTTTCAAAATTGAGCATTTGTATTTGATTATAGATAGAATTGATTTGATTTAAACGATTCCAGAAAATTCAAAAAAGGGAATAGGAGGTTCCTAATCAGACTCAGATGTACATTTTAATGAGACTGATTTCAGTAAGCGTATTTTGTCATTCTTTAATCGAAATGTACGTAAATTTTTACAGTTACTGTTACCTTTACGGCCTATCAAAACTCCGCTGCTAAACTTAGGCCTTTCCCATGGATTGCCACATAGGAAGAACATTTGCCATAGTTACCACAATTGGCAAGTTGACAAAGTGGTTTGATGACTACAATTATTTATTTTTTAATAATGATTTTTCCCTCTGAAAAAATTATTTGCAAATTGTATGCGGTTTTATTTCCTCTAACTCACACGAGTATCGGTATTGCGGGGACAATCCTCTTATTCCTCCGCCATTGTAGAGATAATAAAACCACATACAATTTGTATAATATAGCTACAATATATAGCTACAACTTGGCTCTACCAACTTTAAAATTGTGGTGTCGAATAGCTTGTATAATTTTATTTATAAAAGTTACGTTACAGCCTTTATACGTCCTACTGTTGGGCACACGCCTTTTTACATTTCTGAAAGCGTTTTACGACAAATAAACTTCATCTGCCTTCGTTCACTGGCTTCATACAGGCATCTTGTAGTTATAGCTCTGACAAATAAAGGATAAAAAGACCATTGCACCATTATAAGGATATTGATCTCCGTTTTTCTTTGTATATTTTCTTTGTACTTTGACCTAATTAGAGTTCGAGGCGTTCATTGTTTGCGCACGTCTTATATTTACCTTTTGGATACGTTTCCAGCTTTCAGTATGAATAGATTTGAATTTTGGCTTTTATCCTTGTTAAAATAGAATAATGCATTGGGAACCTTTACAGCTATTTTCAGAAACCTCTATTACTATCTCTACCCTTATTTAAAAACTATAAGGTGTCTTTGCTCATTTCTGAGAGTGTTTTAGAACAAGGAAATATCCGCCGCGATATGCTATAAATATATGTTGCCGCACTTCAAATCATGCCCCGTAAATATTTTATTTATTAGACATTCAGGTATACTCACAATGTTTTTCTTCAGCAGCGAGCATGAGGTGATCAACCCTTAAAAGTGCAGACGGGAATTGAACCACAATGCTCGCAAACGCTGAAATTTAAACCGAACGCTCTGTGCTACCACGGTTCAAATATTTAGCGCAAGCCTAAAGTTTTACTTCGTCAGTTCTGCTTTTTTATTCTATAATTAGTTGGATATAAAACTCGCCATGCTATAAAAATTAATATCAAAAGAATATAACAATTTTTATTTTAACTTAATTGAAGATCATCGTTCATTCCTATAGTTATGTTTTAAGCAAATGCTATAAAGCTTGGCATCTATACAGACCTCAAATTTCCTTTTCAATTTAAATTTGTATTAAACATGACCCCCCTCTTTAACCCAACCTAGAGTAGTAAAGACCTAATGAAATCATTCCATTAAGATTTTTAATGGTCCCATTTAAATTTGAGGAAACGTAGGTGTTGGCGACGCGCCTATTAGAATATTTCAGTTTATTAAGTCAACCGATGACGAATAACTTCTCAAAGGCATATTGTCCAATAGCAAGGTTCTGATAAGAAAATGCTTAGTTAAATCTTAAAGAAATATCGAATTAATGATATGAAGGTCTTGGGTTCGACTCCCAGGCCGGACTAGTTTATTTGTTTTCCTAAGTAATATCGCTTAATAAATTCATAAGGAATTTTAAGATATAAATTATGTTACCGGATTGGTTCCCCGGTTAAAATCATCTTTCCAATGATGTAAATTCAAAAGAATAATTAAATAAAGTTAAAGATCGGATTTGTTCCCCGGTCGAGATGTGCATAAATAGAATTAACGGAAATTAATTGCATAATTATTGTTTTATATGAGTTTGATATGTTTTGTACGAAAACAAATGCCTATTTATCATGATTGATTTATGAAAACATTCACTTATATTGTTTGATAAGAAACATGATAACTGATAAGAATCTGATTAGAGATAGTTTCCTACAGTTCGAAAATTGTGTAAAAGCATTTAATTTACCTAATATTGTTAAAATTAGTGTATATCAGACTTTCATTTTTTCTGATAGCCGAGAGCCTTGCAAAAGTTAGTTGTTCAAATAGTGTGAGTTCATAGACGCACGCTGGCCACGCCCTTAGGAGGCCGAATATGTAAAAATTTAAATATTTGTAATTTCAGCAATTTATGTAAAAATGACTTGTAAAACATTTCAGGTTGATTGTACGTGCTATAAAGGTGAATTCTGTGTTATTTTTATGCGAAAATTCCTGTGTATAAGTGAAATGATAGTTTTGTATAAGAAATTTAAAAGTGTTTTAACCCTTAACCACCTACCACCCGTCTACCAGACGGAAGCTACTTTAAAATCACAAATATTTTCACGCCCTTACACTGTACAATCATGCGCGTTCGAGTACCTTCCCTCCGCGTCCCTCAGTGCCGCGCATGCGCTCGTCGACGCTACACCTGCGCTCGCTTACCTGTGGTGAGTAAAAAACTGTCGTCGAGTGTCTCGGAGACGGGTGGTAGGTGGTTGCGTGACTAAACTCAAATGTTCCTTTTTTATTTTTTCAGTGAAATATGGCTTTACGGGACAAGGATATTGAAAATTTGTTAGAAAATGAGTTATCAGATGAAGATGATCTGCCTAACGATGAATGCAGTGAAGTCGAAAGTAATATTGACGAACAGGAAGTAGTAGAAGAAGATTGCGGATCGGATTCAGAAATTGATGGTGAGGATGATCTGGCGTCATCGGAAAAAGGTAATAGCGAACCATCTTCAAATTTTACTGATCCTGTAACTGCAGACTCTGACTTTTTCATCGGAAGATGACATGTCGCTGGCAGAATTGCGTAGAAAGAAAAACTATTTTGGAAAGAATCGTTTTCGTTGGGCATCTGTTCCTTCGTCTTCACGTATAAGAACATTAGAGCATAATATTGTCAGGGAGCGTGAAGGTATCAAACCCGAATACCGAGATCAAATAAATTCTTCATCTTCTCCACTGGACATATGGAAGTTGTTCTTTACTGACGAAATGCTCGAAAACATTGTTTTGCACACTAATAAGAAAATAAGAGGGATTAGATCAAACTATCAAAAGCAAACCTGTGTTCAAGATATGGATCTAATGGAATTGAAAGCTTTCATAGGATTCCTGTTCTATACAGCTATATTTAAGTAAAACCGTGAACACTATTCGTCATGGTATAGCATGGACGGTACAGGAAGGGAAATATACCATTGTATTCTGATTAAAAATCGATTCGAAGTGTTGCTAAAAACCATTCATTTTGATGACGCAGAGACCAGACTGGCACGTCAAAAGCACGATCCTTCTGCTCCTATTTCTGAACTCTTTGATTCCTTCATAAACCGTTGTCAAGCTGTTTATGCAATCGGAAGTTGTGCATGTATCGATGAAATGTTACTGGCATTTCGTGGCAGATGCCGGTTCAAGATGTATATGCCGAAAAAACCAGCCAAATATGGCATAAAAATACAGTGCCTTACAGATGCAAGATCGGGCTACTTGCTCAATGCCTACATTTATTTGGGAAAGGATTCCGATGGGTTCAATTTGTCTGCAGAGTATCAAAGACTGAAAAAACCAACTCAGGCAGTTCTGCGCCTTCAATTGGAGTTATAACTCCAATTGAAGGTTCTAATCGAAATGTGACTACGGACAATTGATACACATCTATAGAGCTATTGGAATAAATGAAAAAGAAGCAGCTGACAGTTGTTGGTACGTTGCGAAAGAATCAAAGAGAAATTCCCCAGAATTTTTGCCCGCTCGTAACAGAAATGTTGATACTACTGTATTTGGATTTACAAAAGATATTACAATATCATCATATGTGCCGAAACTAAACAAAGCAGTGATTACCGTCTCAAGTATGCACCATACTGCAAATGTTGACAATACTACAAAGAAAACGGAGATAATACTATATTATAATGAAACCAAAATTGGTGCAGATTTACTAGATCAGAGATGCGCCAACTACTCAACAGGCCGTCGCACTCGTAGATGGCCGTTGGCAGTATTTTACAGGTTGCTAGATATTTCAGCTTCAAACTGTTACGTTGTCAGCTTATCTGCTAAAGGCCAAACTCAAAAAACTGAAAGCAGATTAAAATTCCTGAAGAAATTAGCCGAACAGCTCACAAGACCACATATGGAGCGCCGTGAAAATAATCCTCAGATGCAACGGCATATAAAAATCGCTCTTCGACGTATACTCCATCACAAAGACGAGGCGACTCAGCAGAGGTTCCAGGTGGCAGCCATGCTAAAGAAAGGTTAGCTGTTCGCAAGACATGTTCTACTTGTGACCCGAAAAAGAAACGCAGAACCCAATATATTTGTTTCGAATGTAAGGTACCCATTTGCCTCGAATGTTCTAATAAACTGTGCAATTTTTGCCGTGAATAAAGGTTATGGTCTGCAATTTTGTTGATTGAGTTGTTTTAGAAAGTAAATAAAAATTTTTATTTCTTTGTTGATTATTGAATAATTAAAAATTAGTAATGAATAAGCATTATCTTTTTGTAATTTTTTTATTGTTCTCATTATCCATAGACTGTATTTTTGTAGCAACAAAAGTGAGATGGTTTTTGTTATTCAGATTATGCAAAATATAATCATTTTTATTTTGTGTTTCTTAATATAATACATAGTTTCTAACATAATTAAAATGTTATTTTATTTTCCATAACCTTTCAATTACAAATATTATACATGCGAGGGTAATTTGACACACACGTCTCTAAGACGGGTGGTAGGTGGTTATGTTACAAAAATAGGAGGTAGGTAGTTAAGGGTTAAATAGTGAAATAAATAGAGAAAATGTAAATTAAACTATTGTATTAGTTAACTTATGTATAATTTCAAGTGGAAAACATTGTTTTCACTTTCTGTGTTAAATATTTAAGAAATTTCGACTTCGAACTTGTGAGTAAAATAGGCACATTTCATTTCATAAATAATAGGTTTTTCGTGATATGAAAATGTAATGTATATCGTAGTGTAGATATTGTTTTGTGCTATCTATACAGATAAATTATGTTGATGTATGACTTATGCAAATAAAGTAATTAAGTAAAACGTGAGAGAGTAATAGAACAAATTCATGTAATTGAGTTGCGCAAGCGCGCGAATGGCGCGGCTCACTTTCGCGTATAGCTCTGGGGTAGCTTAGTGAACGGGTTTTATTGCAATTGGTTCGGGGAAAAAGTTCGGAAATCATACCAGCAGTCAATAAGAAGAAGAAAGAAAAAGTGTAGGGAAGTGATAGGGAAAAGTGATTACTCTCTCACGGAATGGTTTGAAGATAATTGCTGTTTTATTCCCAAGAAATTCATCCCTCAAGTTATACAGTCCACATCGAAGAATTAAGGCGTTGGGACCGGGACGACTTCGGAAGACCCGTAATCCCCGTCTGAACCTACTTGCTGAAAAGGAAGAGGCCCTTGTGTGTTACTCCGTTGCGGGAGATCACATACGTTGTTCCCGAACCCAACGTAGGCGTTATAGGAGGCGGATCCTTTTCAATCGGTCCTTCGCGGCCGGGTCAAGAGGACCCCCGAACCTGGGTTCCTTTTCAATTGGTCCTTCGAGTCGGATAAGGACCACCCGAACCCCGCCAGCTGGATCGGAAGGAACCAGCTGTGGACTGCTGGTTGTGGAAAAGAAGACCTTCGAAGCCGAGTGAAGATCAGCAACCGAAGGAAGCCGGAGGTTTGAGCTGAAGCAATAGGACCAAAGGCCAGAAGACCAGGTCGTCAGCACAGAAGGACTGGACCTGGAACTACCGGAAGAAAGAAAACCGGGATTGCGGCTTGGGGCGTGTGCTCGCATGGGGCACGTATCGCAGCCAGGCGCAGGTGCCTTGTGAAGGCGCTTATCGTGGCCAAGCAGGGCTTGGCATTTTTCCTGTCGGGCAAGCGTGCTCGGCATTTCCTGTCGGACGACCGTGTCTGGCATTTCCTGTCGGACGACCGTGTCCGGCATTTCCTGTCGGGTCATCAGGGTGCAAGAAGAAGCATCCACCGCTGCTTCTGCCAGGCGAGGGTGCGCGTGGGCACCTGACTGCATCGCGGCCGGAGGAGGGCGCTTGAACGAGGCGTCACCAGCAACTGGGCGGCGAGCACAGCATACATCCCGACCACCTAACGGTGCCAAACGGTCGGGCTCTGGCACAACACCTTGGGGTGGAGCAGTTCTCTCGAGCGAGACTGCGCTTGCACTACCGCTCGACTGTTTCGTCATATTCCTTGGTTCCTAAACCTTTCCTCCATTCCATTCCTGCACGACTCCATCCCTGGACGGCTCACCTCGGTAGGCCCCGTTCAGGATTGATAGGGCTGATAGGGCTGTTAGGGTGGTAGTAAGGTTGTAGGGTTGGGAGATAAGGGGGGGAGTGGTAGTGGTGTTAGGTTGGGATGTAGAAGGGTTGTAGGTAAGGGGTTGTAGGGACCGTAGGGACAGTTAGGGACCGTAGGCAAACAATCACCTTCCTGCAGGATGAAGAAGGCACAAGACCAGACAGAGAGGAGCGAAGGGAGCAGGACAAGAACAGGGCTCTCAAGAAAAGCTAAAGAGGCGGAATCATCTGGAGCGACCACAGCTACTGCGTCAAATGGGGCAACTCCTTCAAGTGGAGCCACCACCGACACGTCCACATGCACGTGGGACTCAGGGACGTCTATGGCGACGACAAGCAACAGGACGGACACCAGTGGTACGCAGGCCAGCACCGCACAACAATCCGTTATATCCAGGAGTGAAACGGTGGTCGAAAAAGTAGGTCAAAGGACCGAAGAAGCGGCATCGTCAAGGACAGTAATCGGGCACACTAGTGACAAAGGGTCACAGAGAGGTAGTAGGTCATCGCGATCGGCGAGGCTGAAAGCCGAATTAGAGGCGCGGATTAAATTCGAACGCTCAGAGCTCGAACGAGCACAGGCAGCTGCTGCCTTAACCAAGTCTCAATTGGAGTTGGCACGACTCAACCGAGAAGAGGAGATCGACTCGAGTGAGGATGATGAAGAGCGGAATACTCAGGTGGAACCTTTCGTAAGGAGTTGGGTTCAGCAGATCATAATGAGCGCGCCGGTTAGTGTAACGCAACCCGATATTACTGATAAGGAAGCGTGTAAAGGATCACGCCGCAAAGGGGCGGAGATCGAGCGCAACCAAGGAAATGCACAGAAAACACACGCGAGTGAGGTGTCAGAATTGACCGATGCGATTGTGAGTGCAATTAAGATAGCGGGAAAAGATAAGTCTTCCCAGCTTCATTTCCTCCAGGAATTACCGGTGTTCGATGGAGACCCGGGTGAATGGATAATTTTCAAAACGGTGTTTGAAGACACAAGAAGCCAATTTTCAGGGGTACAGAATGTCGCACGCCTTAGGAGGGCATTAAAGGGCACTGCTAAGGAAGCGGTTAAGTCATTGTTGTTTACTTTGTGTGAACCTGAAGAAATAATGAACGCTCTCGAGAGAAGATTCGGTAGGGTTAAGATGCTCATTTTAGCCGAAATCGAGAATGTAAAGCGTATGCCAAGATTGGCAGAAGATTGCCGTAATATAGGATCTTTTGCAAGTCGTATTACGAACGTGGTTGCCACGATACAAGCGTTGAATCAACCACAGTATTTATACTCACCGGAGTTAGTGAGCCGCATAGTGGAGAAACTCGAAACTATGATTAAATTTAAATGATTTGAATATCGAGCTCAGTATCCTTTGGAGCCAGAGTTACAGAAGATGGCCAAGTTTTTAAATTTATTGAGTGAACAATTTGGAACGTCCTTAAGCAATGAAAATGCGCCTGAAAAACGGAAGCGTCCTGAATTCAGGAAGCAAACTGTACACACCGCAAAGGGGTCTGTACGCAATCGTGCCAAGAGCGAGCGCTATATGCGCCGAAGTAATACGAGCGAGCGTCTAGAACGCCGAAATAATAAAGGGCAAGACCGACAAGTGGTTATGACAACCCAGGACAAGCCTGTAAGTCGGGTAACACATAAGTGTGTTATATGCAGCAAGGAGCACTCTATAGTGAGTTGTTACAAGTTTAAGGACATGAATATTCGCGAGAAATGGGACGCAGTCAAAAAAGCGAAAGTATGTTTCCAATGTTTGTCACCTAAACATAGGAGGTTAGAGTGCAAAGCGAAAAAATGTGGTGTAGAGGGATGTAGAATGTCACATCATCGGATGCTACACCGATACCCCAATGAAAATACCTCGCCACAAGGGGACGAGGGGGTAAAGAGGCTCAGATTACAACTGTTAGTACAGTGAATGCACTGGCATGTACATACTTAACACGTTAATTGCCAATCACTCCCAGTTCCCAGTACTCTTCAATTTTATACTTCTATATTATGTAAAATATTAAATATATATACTAAAACCATAAACACACCCGCAAATAGTATTTGCTGTACATAAGAGTTATTTCCTTAAATAAAAGTTTTGGGCCACCAGCAGAAAACTCCAATTTTAGCTTTGGCAATGAACGTGTTAAAGATTATACCGATCGAGTTGTATGGACCTAGAGGAAAGGTCAAGACAACAGCTCTTCTGGATGAGGGATCGACCATGACAGTCATAGAGGAGTGGATGGCTCAGAAGTTAGCGCCTCGCGGACGTAAAGAGGAATTACGTATCGAAGCCGTGGGAGGTAAGCGAATTAACGACGACAGTTCGTATCGCTTAAACGTTAAGATAAAAGGCATTTACTCGAACGACTTAGAAGAGATAAGTGTACAAACAATTAAGTCACTTAACCTTACTCCTCAGTCAATAAGCCGAGAATTATTACAACGGTGTTCTCATTTGACACCGGTTAAGGATGAGTTGATGTATGAGAGGTCCAGACCTACCATATTAATTGGCCAGGACAATTGGCATCTCATAGTTACTCGTGAATTAATTTCAGGAGGTAAGAACCTACCTGTAGCATCGCTCACCAAACTTGGATGGGTTTTACATGGTCACATATCGGGTGGTATTAAACCAATCAAGATTGTTAACCACATTTCCACCAAGAAGGAGGAAGACATGGATAAGTTGATCAAAGATTATTTTAGTTTGGAATCTCTGGGAGTGTTTGCGCGAAAGCCCGCGAACGACCCAGAAGAACGAGCTTTAAATATTTTGAGCAAAACGGTACGTCGTATACCTAATAATAGGTACGAGACTGCTTTGTTATGGCGCACAGACAATGAGTGCATGCCGTCGAATAGAGCGCAGGTTGAAAGTCGCCTGTTTAATATCGAAAAGAAGCTCGAC